TAAAAAATATAGACAAATTTTGTTTTTTTTTTTTTAATATCATTGCATCGCTTAGTTTTAATTTAATTTACTTTATTGTCGGCTAAAATTTGGCATATTTTATAAATATTAAATTATTCAAGGTCAGAAATTGTTAAACATTTAAAACTTGTGTATAATTGGTTGCCTAGACTTAATTAGAAAATGTAACAAATTTATTTTTCAGACTATTCTTGACACTCGATTAGTTTATAAAACATTTAATTTAAAATAAAAATAACAATTTTAGACTTAAGGGTACTTAACCACAAAAATTGTTTTATGTTGTGTATAACTGGTTGCATAAGACTAACTAAAATTTGCAACCCATTTACTCAATTTTCTTCGAAAATATTTGAGACATTTGTTTTGTTTATAAAACAGTTAATTTATTATAAAAAAAACAATAAATTTTAGTTTATTTAATCTTAAAATTGTTTTAAGCTGTGTATAATTAGTTGCATAATTGTAATTAAAAATTGCATTTTGGCGGCTGCTTAATATATTTTTTTATCAACAATTAACCTAATTTTAGCAAATTTTGTTAAATTTGACTTGTTGTTAAATAAAAATTAGATTTATGCTATTTTCCAACGACTTTATTTTTAACGACTATAAACTAATTTTGAATTTTTTAATTATTTATCATTGCATCGTTTAGTTGTTATTTATTTTAACCTTACAGTCGGTTAAAATTTGGCATATTTTATAAAAATTAAATTTTTAATGCCAAAATGTTAATTATTAAAAACTTTTGTATAATTGGTTGCCTAGACCTAATTAAAACTTGGAACAAATTTTCGTTCCAGACACACGATTCGTTTATAAAACACTTAATTTAAGATAAAAACAAACAATTTTAGATTTAAGTGTATTTAATCCTATTAAATCCCAGTAATTGTTTTGTTGTGTACAATTGGTTGCCTACCTCCGATTTAAAATTACAACAAAGTCACTCAATTTGAAAATATCACAAACACCCGTTTTGTTTATAAAATAAATATTCAATTCACGATAAGAATAAACAATTTTTTGTGAAAAACTGATAACATTCGGTCGCGGATCAACGTATTTACCAATCTCCCCACTCACTCGTTTTATTACCATTTAAAAACATATCGCGAGTGCAGTAAAACAGTTCGTGGTGTGTAAAATGGTCCAAGAAGACAACCAATTCGTGCTCGAGGGGCCTCCGCCCCTGCAGCCCCTCCCCCGTCTCTCCCTCGGCCGCCTCGTCTACGACAGTCTCCTCGCAAATATAAAAAAAGGCGACGCTTTTGTGAGTTTTTCTCTCGATAAATCATGACCTTGGGGGGATTTTTCAGGTGGATGCGGCCACCGGCGCGACCATCTCCTACCTCGACCTCCTGAAAACCTCCTGCGCGCTGGCTGAAAGCCTCCTGAAACGGGGCTACGGCCGCGACACCGTCATTTCAGTCAGCAGTGAAAACAACTTGCAGTTTTACATCCCGGTGATTGCGGGTCTCTACGTGGGGGCTGTGGTGGCCCCCTTGAACCATAATTACACGGAGTACGAGGCCACACACTCGCTCAACATCTGTAAGCCCCAAATTGTCTTTGTCTCAAGACAGGTGGCCCAGAAATTCGTCCAATTGAAAACACGATGCGGTTTCATGGAGCGAATTGTGGTGATTGACTCTGATGATGAGGTGTACGGCACCGAAACGTTGGGGGGGTTTATTGAGATGGGGCTACGGGGCTTCGCCCCTTTGTGTCGCTTCCCGGGGGTTGATTTCGATCCCGACACCCAAATTGCGTTTATTATGTGCTCCTCGGGGACTACGGGGCTCCCCAAGGGGGTGATGCAGACCCACACTAACCTCATGGTGCGATATATGCACACAATGTACCCCCAAATCACTTTTTTTGACATTTTTTTAAATATTTTTTTGTAGTGATCCGAGATATGTCCAAAAATCGGAGACTTTTCTCGGGATTTTACCCTTTTTTCACGGTTTTGGGTTAGTTACGAATTTTTTTGCACTAGTTCAAGGGGAGAAAATCGTTGTGATTAGACGATTTGAGGAGAGATTGTTTCTTAAAGCTGTGCAAGACTACAAAATTCCGAGTTTGTGGCTTGCGCCCCCTTTGGTTGTCTTGCTAGCGAAGAGCCCCCTTGTGGACCAATACGACTTGTCTTGTGTCAGGGAGGTGACAAGTGGGGCTGCGCCACTTAGTAAAGAAACCGAGGAGTTGGTCAAGAAGAGGTTTTTTGTTTTATTTTATTTTTTTGTCGAATTGTTTTGTTTTTTTTTTCTTCAAGGTTAAAGATAAAGGGGATAAGACAGGGCTATGGCCTCACTGAGGCCACTTTGGCGGTTATCATGATGAGTGTCGGGGATACTAAACCCGGATCTTCCGGAAAAGTCGCCTCTTACATGAAATGCAAAGTCCGGGATCCGGAAACCGGAAAGTCGCTCGGACCCGGAAACGTGGGAGAGTTGTGTTTCAAAGGGCCGATGGTAATGCCAGGGTACTACAATAACGAGGAAGCGACCAGAAATTCGTTTACCAGCGATGGGTGGCTTTTGACCGGAGATTTGGGTTATTATGACCATGATGGGTATTTTTTTATCGTTGATCGGTTGAAGGAATTGATC